TCGGCGGTTTCTTCGTCTGGCAGTAGAACTCCGAAGACGGCCGTGAGCAATGGAAGGAGCAAGCTGTAAGGCCCCTTGAAGCTTTCTCTAGCCACTACCTGGACCCCGAAAGTCTGTAGAAGAATAGCAGGTTACAGGTGTTGGGCCATTGTTTTAATTACCTACCTTTAAGGGTTGAGGCACTTGACATGCAATGACTTGCAGGGCAACCCACGCGGTTCTTCGGACTAGAGCTGCCTCAAGAAACGTCGGCTTTCCCAGCTTGGCTCTTAGGACACTTGCAGCCCTTCGGGCTTCGGGCGTGGTGTCATGTAGGGGTCTTAATGGGTGGAAGAGGGTTCTGGTGCACTAAGGGCCCTAAGAGAACACCTAAATCCCAAAAGTAGGGGAGTTTCCGGGCTGGAGCTGAAATTACAGGTTTGAGGTTTGGGGTAGGTATCCAGCGCAGCAGATTTTAGGCTCTTCTTTGTTTCCGCCTGCCGAAGCAGGAAAAACCCCTGGGAGATTTTAGGGTTTAGGGTTTATAAGGCTTAGGGTTTAGGGTTTATAAGGCTTGCAGTTCATCGATTCTGGTGGGGAGTTGATCTTCGGCTGCAGGCGTTTGCTGAGCAAAGTTCGACGCTTTGAGCCCCTCGAAGCCCAGGTTAGCTCTCGGCTGAGCTGCAGCCCGGTTGATTCCGACATAAATCGTATAGAACCCTAAACCCAGAAATCTAGGCAGCTGGGCTTGCAAGGCTTCGCATCCCTTCTTAAGGGATGCGGAGTAGCCACCGCACATTGGATTGGACAATGCAGAAACCACATGTGACGATGGACGCGATTGAACTGGGTGGCTCTTAGCCTGCAAAAAAAATCACTCATGCAGCTAGCAACCTTAGCACCGAAATGGTCACCAGCCCTATATTTAGAATACAGAGCCTTCAAATCCCCTGAAGACTAAATCTCTCAAGCCCATGGACTTAGCTGGCGAGCACAAGTCTAAGCTCCTTTATTGGGTAGTTCGCTACATCAGGGTCCCTTTGTCGGTCCCAAAAAATTAGATACCTACCCATACAACGCCAAAGTTCAAAAGGAACCTAAAGAAGTAGACATGAGGGTTCCATGCGTAGGACGAACATCACAGGGCTTCGGTCTTGGGGCACAGGGCTACTACTTCGGGGTTTAGGGGGCTGAGGCTGAGTTGGTAAGTTTTAAAGATTCTAACAGTTACTCATTAACAGTATCCCACAGCCCCTAATGCATCTTACCCATCCTGCTGAATCGAAAGAGCTGCTGAGTTGGCTGAGCCTTAGGTTTGACGTCTAGGCCCAGAAATCTTTTCTTTACAACGGCTGCCCTGCAAGGACCCTAAACCCTAAACCCTAAACCCTAAACCCGTGCAAATCCGACCCTGCCCCAGACGGCGAAGTTAGAACAAACTGCTTGGGACAACGACACCAGCCAGGCCGCAGGTTCCGGTTTACGGGCTTAGGGTGTAGGGTTTAGGGGCTTAGGGTTTAGGGTTTAGGGTTTAGGGGTTTAGGGTTTAGGGGTTTAGGGTTTAGGGTTTAGGGTTTAGGGTTTAGGGGTTTAGGGTTTAGGGGTTTAGGGTTTAGGGTTTAGGGTTTAGGGGTTTAGGGGCTTAGGGAGGGCTATGTGTATGTAACCCGAAAGGTTTGTGTACTCTTATATCCACCATGGTGCTACAAGTACTACGTAGGAACCGGCTGAAGGCCCACACTTCGTACATGGCCTTCTGCAAAAGGAAAGTTTCAACCTCAAGCCTGCCCTGAATCGCAGCGCATGAAAGCAGTGCCCAAACAGCATATGGGAGTTTCCGAAAATGGGGGTACCTCATTTTGGGGTCTTTCTAAAAGGGATCTTACTATTTAAGGTAAGGGTCCCCTATTTTCGGAAACTCCCATATGACTTGATAGGTTCGAAACCCTGCATCGTGCGCTGACTTGTGCTGTACCCACTGGGATCACAGGAGCTTCAGCGATCCCTGTGTAGCCAGCTCTTGTTATGCTAGCCCCCTGGAATTGACCCATACACCCCACAACGTGCCTGATGCGATTTATCATTGCCCGAAACAGGCACAAAACCCTCAATAGCCAGATCTAAGGCTAATTGCTTCTGGATTGGGGTTTGTAGGGCTTTGGGGTTCTAAACGTTCTTCCCTTCGCAATGAGAAGGCTAGATCAGAGGTTTACGAAAGTCGAAGTCCAATCCCAACGATGCGTGGCTGGTCTGCAGGGTCTCCCTGGGATTGAAAAGGTTTGCAACAGCATCCCGGATGCTTTGTGGATTCCCTTTTTGTTTGAACCCTCTTTTCCTTCTGCCCTGTTGGTTTGTCGGAATGCTTTGTGGATTCCCTATCTTAGGGTTTCGGCCGAGTGGTTTTGCAAATGGGCTTTGGGTCTGTGGTCTTGGCTTCAAACCTGCTACGTCCAAGCTTTTAGTCTTTGGACCCTGGCAAGCAGCAAGCAACCAATAGTATAGGAGCCTGAAAAGTTTCTCACATAATATATATATATATATATATATATACATATGTGTGTATGTAGGGCTCAAATCGCCTGCAGAGGTCAGGAACAATTGTTGCCCCAGTGCCCCGAGGCACGAGTTGAAGCCATACCCGAGCCATCACCAAGCTGGCACCGCAAAGAGCGATCTAAAAGATCGCGGGCGCGTCGACGACTTCGCGCGGCAAAGGCCACCTCCCGTCTGCCAAAACTGGACGATCTGCTATTACTCCATTTCCACCATTCTGGAGCAGGCAGAAAGGGTATGGGCAAGACATGGAAACAACGAGGAGGATATCGCAAAGAAGATGGACATGGTCAAGGATCATGGTCTGGGGATGGGTATGGACAGCAACCCTATCTCTCCAAGGAAAATCTATGGAGAGGAGCGTATTCACCGAGGGCGCCTTGGAGGAGAGCAGATGCAGACCGGAATCCGGCTTTTCCCAGTTACACACAACTGACCCCCAAGGAATCCCTCCCAAGTGCTACGACGTTGGAGTCTGCTTTCTTGCCGGATGCGGCCCTTCCGGAGATGCAAAAATCTCTCACAGCAGCAAAGAAGGCGGAAGGCAAGGTTCGTGGCTTAGTGACCCTCCAAGAAAAGCATGCCCAGCAATGGCAGGCTTACAAAGACAAACTGGAGCGTGCTTTCGTACAAGAGCACAAGAAGTACATGATGGAACGAGAGCGAATCCAGAGAGACTTGGAGACAGCAGTTCAGCAACAAGAAGCTGCGAGAAAGGAAGTACGATGTGTGTACAATGGAGAACCATCCAAGCCGTCGCAGGCGACCCTACAGGAGAGGGCCTCACTGTCGGAGTGGGAGACGATGAAGAGCCACTGGGAACGATCCCAGGAGATGGACATGGATGGTGTCTTGCACAGAGCCATGCAGGAGCCTGCGATGGACATGACTCCTCCAGGGAGCAGAGACGTGGACATGGGAGAAATGCCACGGAAGCTTCGTCCAGAGTTTATCCACCGCTTGCTTATGGATCCTGGAGTACAAGCGGCCTTTTGGGCCCATTCTTCAGGCCCAGGTGCACCGCCAGGTTTACCTGGAACCCATGGAGCTGTGACCAAGGAAGCCGATCAAGAAGTACCTTCGTTCGGAACACGGATGCCAGCAAGTGCGGAAGTTCCGACACCACATGGCGAGCATCCTGGAGTCGGAGGTGTGGCGGAACGCTTGGCCGCGGAGAGCAAGTCTCCAGGGAGACCGGAGCCAATCCCCGGAACACATCCGGGACAAAGAGACCCCTCACAGGTCCGAGTACCATCATCGGAAGCGCCACCAAGACAGGATGTCAAGTCCGCTACGAAGACGACGCCACAGCGAATTCCCTCCCACCAGGTCCTTGGGGACAAACTCGAGGAAAAGAGACAGAAAGAAAGGCAAAGGAATGCTTTGAATCCCTTCGGCCTTGGAAATATGGGAAAGGGCAAACAGGCTGGAGGACCAGCGATCGCTGTCGAGACGGACCGCGACAACGACTCGGAGGAACTGGACAGGGCGGATCGCTCTCCGGGATTGGGCAACTTAGAGTGACGAGTATGATGGTGCTCACAGGCGCATCTGACTGTCACAAGGGTGGCTGCAGGCTGGGGATGCGAATTTGGTTAGAGATTTCAATGGGGAAATCTCAGCCAACTCGCTACATCCTCGGTCAATGCTACTATCCAACGGACATGACGACAGCGCCTGTGAGACACCTTCCTTCTCACACACCTCTGTACAGTTGTACATTGTATCAGTTTTTGCCTCTATGCCATTCCCCTGCATTCGTGGAGGTGCTTCCTTGTCCATCCATCCTTGCTGACGTTGTCCTCGGCTGCCTTTGGGACTCCTTGGGTTTTGGATGTCCTTTGGGTAAGCCCCTGCCTGGATTTGGGGACCTTGAGCCCCGAAGCAGCAATCGCCAGCACATCTACCACACTGCCCCTTCAGGGACCTTTCGAGCGCTAAAGAAACACATCGGTAGCTCTGGGGTGTTCGCCGATTTTGAGGTCCCTATTAATGATAATGAAGGAGGCATCGAGGTTTCGAGGTCACTGAGCCTGCCAGAAGAAGTTCATGATCTCGGGCTACAGGTCTTGCTCGCTGTAGCTTCTTTTGTTGTGCCCATTGCAAGAGCTTTGCTCCTCATGCTGTTCTTGGCCATTTGGCGTCTTCTATGCTCTGCTCTCCCTGAGCGCCACGAACCTCTTGGCAGACTGTTGCTTCTCCCGAGTACAGGGACAAACCCTGACATAGCACTTTGTTTGGACATTGGCCCTGGCCATCGAAGCCTGTTGCGGTCAGGCTACAAAGGGTATGACCGACGAAGCAAAAGCTGTCAGAGACATCGAACTTTCAGACCAAAGCCTTCTTTCAGTCTTGCTTGGGTCTTCGTTGCCAAATGTTTTGCCTTGTCAATTCCAGCCCAGATCTGGAGTGCACCGGCAGGTCTTGGAGTCTTGGTCGGTCTGTCTCAGTGCAGGCATGCACAGGCCATGCAACAAGAGGTTGAAATTGAAGGAGACCTGCAGCCCACGCCGCTTCCAGTGCTAAGTGAACACCAGAGAACACACAATGTTGATACACTTGGCGAACCAGCCTTGGCCATCCCAGACGCTTTCACAGCTGTGGCCTCACGAGCTGCAGCGCCTGTTGCATCAGATGAGAATACTGCCGAACCCCGGGACATTCCTGTTGAGACAGAGCAGCCTGATGCAACAGCAGAGTTGGGTACAAGGTTTTTCACTGTCCTCTGCCCGCAATATCATACTGAGCTTGTGCAAATAGTGTTTCGAATTCCAGGGACTTCCCTTGATGAGGCATTGCATGAAGTCAGGGGTGGCTTGTCTGACCTCAGACTTGAATATGCAAATAAAGTCAGCCCAACCATCCCGCAATTGGATCCTGGGTCCGCTTCAGTTGTCTTGGGGGGTTCATGGCATGACAGTTATCACGATGCCATTTTAGTCCTGGATTTTCGGGCTCTCCACGGCCCGTGCTATGCACAGCACTTTTTCTGTGACGGTCGGTACAGTGACCTCCAGGAAGCAGCTGCCATTCAAGGGATTGAGGATTTTGATGTTTACTTGTTTGGGAGTAGTGACCCACTCAGTGAGGGCGATTCGTTCAGAAGTTTACATGGAGGCGTTGTCCAATTCAGACCTAAAGGCAGCTCACCAAAATGGTTCGGCGATCTTTCCTCTAGGTTGCAATCACCTGCTACTTGGTCGCATCCTACCTTCGAACCCGCAGCCAATGTACCGCAATGGCTTGTTGTTGGGGATGTAACTCATGACCACCACAGCTGGGTTGTTGAGGAGCCCGTACCCCAAATTGTAGAGCTACTACAGGCCTCCCAGGATTCGCTTACTTTTGCGCGCCCAAGCCGTGGCATTTTTCACAATGTCAAGTCGCAAGGGAGCAACTGTTGCGAACTGCTTGCTGTCCAGCGAGCACCACCGCCTTCAGGGGATAATCATCCAGGTTACTTCCTCTTCCTTGACGGCCGACAGGTTGGTCGAAAACCTACATATGTTTGGCTCTACGATCCCGTTGTCAGCTTGGGGTACTTAGCTAGGTTTGCTGGGATTACACGCCTGCCAGATGGATACCACTTGTCTGTAGCAAGTGCCATTCCTGCCCAACAGGAAAACCATATCAGAATCCGAAGTGGAGACACTATAGTGTTTGGGTTTCGAAGTGAAATCGAGTCCGACCTTAGTGATGGTGCATCTGTCAGGACCTCAGACAACACCGAAGCGGACACAAATGCGACGACACAGCCGCCACCGGGTTCTGACTGCAGTGATGACCTCCTCCATGATACCTCCTCCGAAGGAAACCCATCACAGGAGACTCGCAGTCGATCACCCAGGCACAGGGAGCGATCTGCCGCCGATGAGGCCAATGCTAAGAGCCACAGTAAGCATAGCCGCAAGACCCCCTCAGGTTTGTTGGGGCTGACGATTGAATTGCTTAATGATGAGGTTGAACTTTTCTCAACCCATACTGACCCTGTGCTTAAGCACTTTGGTGACATCAGGAGTTCAGTTGGCCATCATGCCCTAAAGAGAACACCTCCTCCCTCCCTACAACAACGCCTTGTAGAAGCAGCTGGGAGTGTCCAGGGTTTCCCGGCTGAGTTTGATGCCCTAGAAGATGAAAGGGACCTAGACTTGCCGCGACTCCATGTCACTGTTCCCCAGGGGGACGACGACCTTACCGAGGAACATGGGGAAAGTGAGGTAGGTGCTGTCACTGCCCACTTCATTGTGCTCATTCCGGATTGTCTGCCAGAGCATGTTGCCTTTGCATTACCTGAAAACCTCACAGTCCCGGAAGTCCTGAACATCATCAGTGACGAAATTGATGAGCAGCGGTCGTTGTACTACCCAACACTCCAAGAGGCCAATCCGCAACCAGACCGTCACTGGGGCACAGTCATTGCCTCGCCGCCATGGGCTGGAGATATAGCCATAGGATGCTTCGATACTAGGCAAATCGATGGTCGTCTCTTCGCCCTTGAAGTGCCGCGGCGAGCAACGGCAGAGCAGCTCTGCAGAATAGCCAAGCTCGACGATGCAGATACAATTGCGGTTTTTGCGTATGGTAGCCATCTCCCTCTGGCTCCTGGTGAACACGCAGTTTACATCCCTGGAGGTGTTGTTGTTTTTGTTCCCAGGCCTGCGCAGGTACCGCGATTATGCAACTTAGAGTGGATCCTAGAAAGGCCTTTCTTATGGGATGCCGACCCTGAGATGCCATACGGCGCTGTTGGGCATCACTTTTGTTGCGTTACCGGGTGCAATCGCCTTGTGACACACGATAGGAACCAACATGGAACGTTGCACACAGCAATTGCCAGGACACTGCAATTTGCCGAGGATATGATCCTCGTTAGGGCGGCAGACCCGACGGTTGCTGACGCAGCCATCAACGGGCACCACTGCCTGAACGTCATAGCTGCTATCCCCAGAGTAGCCTGGCCACATGGAGTTCCTCCTGTCTTTGGGCTCCTTGACTGTCGACCAATCTTGCAGGGATGGTCTCTTATAGAAGCCCCTGCAGGTAGAGCCACATATTCTGATATAGTGTCTGTTCTAGACATCTTCGCACCTGAAGGTTGGATTTCACAGATAGATCCAGTCGGCATCGATGACAATGGCCAGTTCCAGGTTAGAGAAGGACAGGTCTTCACTGCATCTTATGCACCGGTCTCAGATGATGAAGATGCTCCGCCTGAGTCTTCTGCTGCTGTCCCTGTTCTCAGTGACACACAGAGCGAAGAGGACGAGGTAGATTTGTCTGTTGGACACAACAACAGAGGACAGCGCTCCAGGAGCCGATCTCCACACGGCGCCGCACTAGGTGTTCTGAGCGCGCAGCGCCGTGACTTGGCGCACCACCAAACTAGTGTGACCGCCGCCAAACGGAGCGATTCACAAATTGAGTCCCCACCAGTTGGCCAGGCACACAGTGCCTCCATTGCAATCACAGAACTCCCTTCCAGTAGAGTAGCCAAGCATTTCAGCAGTTCTTGTTCCGAACGTTTTTCGTACACCTGCCGACTTGCCTCTGTCCTCCTGAGGGAAAGGTTGCCCTTTTTGCAGGATTCTCACAGCCTGGAGGACGCTTTCACGGCAGTATGCCGAGCAACGGGCCTTCCTGGAATCCCCTGGGTTGTGTCGCATAACCTTGGCCCCCACAAAGAAAGCCATTCTTCAGCACAGTGGCGAGAAACCAACCTGCCTCTGCTCGACGGTGGCACTATTGTGCCTTGGGTGTATACAGCACCGCCGGACCGTCTGCCTGATGCCATCACCGGTCCACAGGGTGGTACGGCCGACTCCGAGCACAATGCAGAATCCCTCCGCGCAACCTTTTACGTTGTCGCTTTGGGATATCAGCCGCAGCGAGTTGATGTTGACCTGAGCGTACCCACTGTCCCGGCTGCAGTGCTCGCAGAAGTTCGGACGAACAGATCACAGCCCGACCGAAGGCGCTTCCCGGTCCTCACAGCAGTACATCCCCAATCACTTCCTGGCGTAGGGGTGTTCTTGTCTGAACCCATGTGGGATGTAGATAGCCCCCACTTCTGTGTAGATACTGTCGCTATTGATGGGCGTTTTTATGTTAGCACGGGACGCACAGTCGCAGACAGGTACGCCCTGCTCCTGGCAGCTGACTTGCCACTGAACGCCCAAGTCGACATCTATGTCGGAGACTCGGATTTGCCCCTACAAGACGGGCAGGACTGGCTTGTAGTGCATGGCGCAGTTGTCTCCTTTGTTCCGCTTCAGAGCCAGATGCCAAGCCGAAGCTCCTTAAGGGCCGTCCTTCAGGACACTAGCTTCTGGCTAAATGAGCCCTTCCAACCGCTGCAAGTGCAAGCTGATACCTACTGCCTCGTTCATGATAGCCAGAGCATCCTCCACCTTTCTGGGGGTGATCCCCCGATGCATTACAGGAGACGAATAGCAGCTTGCATTGGCTCTGCTGAGAACCGCCTCCGCCTCTTTCCAGCGAGGCCAAGCGTCAATGATGCCGAGGTCAAAGGTTTCCCTGTGCTTACCGTAGTTGGGGTAGCTGAGCTAGGAGGGGAATTTACCCGATCCTCCTCCTGTGTCCTCCTTGATGCAAGGCCCCTACATGGCACTTGGCACGAACTCCATGTTCACAACGGACGGCTGGATTGTCGGGCCTTGTGTGATGACATTGACAGAAGCGCACCAGCTGGATGGCGCACTGTCTTAGTCGGAATACCCAGCGGCGCCGATAGTCATCAGGTTACTCCGGGAAGGGTCATTGTAGCCGAATATGTGCCCACAGTGCCTGTGAGGGCCGCCGCACCAACTGTAACTGCACCTCCACTTGGGCATCAGAACTCCAGTGATGGCTCTGTTGCAACTCCGGGACCACAGAGTGATGGTGCTCAAGCCACACCTGGCTCTAATGCCGCTCGAGGTGACGGTGAGGAGTACACAAACAGTGAGCAGGCTCATTCAGCTCCACTTGCTCAACCAACGCCTGCGCGAACCGGCAGTGACCCGCCAGCATACATGAATTGCATTTTTCTGATCTGCGGACAGAATTACTGTCCAGAAGTAGCTGAGGTCCGCCTAGCAGTAGGTACGAGCCCGGAGGAAGCCCTCCAAGCAGTCAACGCTGCCAGGGCCCCTGACTTGCGTTGCTACCTTCCTAACCTCTATGTCGCTCACCAGCAATCGATTGAAGGCATAGCCGTCCTTGTTGCTGGGCCACTTTGGCCAATCAGTGGTGCCATAGTTGTTGTTGATGCCACACGAACCACTGGACAGGTTAGCGCTGTGCATCTCCCTGGCATAGTCACTAGTCAGGGAGTCTTTCGGGCTGTGCAGGTACCCTCTGCTACCAATGAGCTATATATCAAGGATCTCCCGTGGCCTGTGCCACAAGATCTGCAATTCGACATCAGTCATGGAGAAGCATTGATAATCGTGCCTGAAAGAGCGCAACATTTCGTCACCACAGACTTAGCGACAATGCTCCAAGATGCGAGCTGCTGGAACCCCAATTGGGTACCAACTGTCACCTTTGCGGAAAGAGCTTGGATATTGTCGAATGAGGCCTCTTTTCTTTATACCATCCCTCCTGGTCGCCGCACGCTCGTCCGAACTGACATTGCTGCGATCTTGGGAGTTGTTCCACAAAGCATCCGCCTTTGTGGACCGGCACCACCAATCACAGATTTTGCTGAATGTGGAGTGCCAGCACAACATGTACTTGCAGTGGGTCCGTCTAACACCGCAAGAGGAGCTGCTCCCCCCTCCTACACTTGCTTCATAGACTGTAGGCCACTGCTACTGCAAATTCAGACTTATAAATCGGCGGCACCTGTTCTGGGGTTGGCAAGAATTGCACACCTTCTCCAGAGGTGCCCAACTGGGTACACTCCCTGCTCACTCAGCAGTGATGGAATTTTTCAGCGGATAACAGGAGATCTGCCTTTCGTTGATCGAGGTACTATCACCTTGGCGTTCTTGCCAAATCAGGTTATGCACCAACCTGATGAAGCGTCTGGGGGCTCGCAACCGCCTTCGGCCCCAGACAATTACCCTGACCAGGATGATGCCAATGGATCTGACACCGGGACTTCCCGTTCTGTTGAAGCAGCTAGTAGCTCGTTTGCAGCGTCCAGTGCACCTGATGCAGGCACTGGTGGCTCCAGCGGCCAACAGATAACTCCCACCAGAACCAATGCCAGTGTCTCCAGGCCTCAAGTTCAGAGTGACACTCCTGCCGGAGCACGCCAAAAGAGTGAAAATACCACTCACCTTTTTGACCTTGCGAGCCATCCTTTTTTACCTGGCTGCATGCAACGATTGCCTGGAGCTGGCCTGGCACTCTGTGTCATCACTGCAGCTGCTGTCTTGCAAGGGTTCCGGGCCTTTTGTCGCACTTTGCAAGCACACCAGGGAGTGCACATTCATGTTTTGGTCCTTCTATGTGCGCTTGCCTTCCAGAGCACCCTTGTCGCAGCTGTGCCAACAACACATGCAGTACCAGACCATGTTGATTCTGCTCTGTCCATTTGCAGACTTGGACCAGCCCAACCTCCAATCTTTGTAGACGGTCCTGTCATCCCTAGAGCAGTTCCCACACCATGTAGGGCGCGGGCGCCTCTGCCTACAAGAGAATTCAGCGTTGAGGACCTTGGTCCCCTTCAGACACTCCTTGAAGAAAGTCGAAGGGCACAGCAAGATGCGCCCTTGTTTGATGCCTGGACCTTGTTAGAGGTTCTCCTTGAGCATGCGGACGCGCATACAGAGCGGGATGTTGGATCACATGCTAGATACACACCGGATCCGCCACATCCGGGAGGCACTGTAAAACTTGCCGAACATTTACCAACAGGGCTCCAGGTCGACCTTTCGAATGTAACCCTCGGGGTATCTCGGACACTAGATGACGTAGCCTCCCTGTTGGGCACCCGCTGGAGCCTACCTGCAAAGTTGCCACATGGCCTCCCTCTACACCCCGCTTCAGTAAAAGCTATAGCAAGCCATGTTGAGCCACCACAGCATGAAGCCCTTCCCTTGCGGTATGACGTCTTCACAGATGGCTCATACGATGGCAGTCACAGTAGTTGGTCCTTCGTTGTTCTAGCCGTTTGGGATCGTGGGACTAGCCTCGTTGGGTATGCAAGGGGAGGTGTAGCTCTGCCGGGCTCTCGTTTACACATTGGTGCGAGAGAGCAGGAGAGAAGACGGCCCTTTTCTGGGCTACTGCCTGGGCGATGTTGAAGCAGTCAGATGTCCCCTGTTGGGTGAACAGTGACTCCACTGTAGCCCAATGCCAGACACAAGGGACCTTCCAGATCCACCCAGATGATCTGCTTGCTGGTGCTTGCCGCAGTCTTGCGACAGCTGCTGAAGCCTTGGCAAAGCTACAAAGCAGTCAATTTAGTCATGTCAAGGCCCATGATGGCAACCCCTACAATGAGCTTGCTGATGTCCTAGCCAAAGCTCATGATCTGGTAGATACTGCCATACCTGAGGGGGTGCTGAATCTTGCAGCCTGGTTTAGGTCAGGGGATTTACCATGGCTTTGGGTGTTAATTGAAGCGACCTTGCGGCCACAACAATGGCCTACTTTCCAGCATGGCAACTTCATTGACAAGGGGAGTGTTCAGCCATCTGATTTGACAAAATTGAACAGGTGTTTGGTGCCGGAAGCATCCGGTGACAAAAGGTCGTCAACTGCTACAACAGCGATTCTGTTCCAGCCCAAAATCCTGTCGATAAATGTGCAGACACTTGCCGAAGATGCTGCAGTTGGCATCGTAGGCCGGGTCCCGTATGTACGGGAGCAGCTTAGGTATGTGGGGGCATGCATCATCGGACTCCAAGAGACTCGTGCTAAGCAGTCTGCAACCATAGTCTCTGAATCCCACATCCGTTACCTCTCGCAGGCCGATGCCAGTGGTAGCCATGGTGTTGAGTTATGGCTGGCCCGCGACGTGCCTTTTGCTTGGATGGGGTCAACCCCCCTTTTCTTCATGCAAACGGACATGCGAATCATTTTCGCTGACCCTCGCACCCTTATAGCAAGGTTCTCAAGGTCGCAATTGCGGTTTGTAATTGTTGTGGTACATGCACCTACAGCACAGGATGCTAATAGGGAGCATTGGTGGAAGCAACTGAGAGATCGACTTGCCAATTGCACTCGGGGTGACTCGGTTTTGCTTATAGGGGACCTGAACTCGCGCTTCATCCAGCCGATGCACAACCGGGTTGGCGAAAAGCTGTGGGAAACAGGTCCGGCGCCTCCCCTTCACCTCCTGAAAATTTTGCAGGACTTTGACGCATGGGTTCCCTCTACTTATGCGGCTTGCCATCCAGGTGAGGACTACACGTGGCTCGCACCAGGCAGCGGAGCATCGTCCCGCATCGATTTTATCATCATCCCGTGTAGTTGGGATGTTTCCACGGGCGGCTCTTGTGTTCACCATGAAGTCGACTTTGGACAGGCAGGAGCCGATCATTTTGCAGTCTCTGTTGATGTGAGAGCTTGGATGCACACCAAGCGCGGGAACAAGCGTGCTTCCCCACGGTTGAACAGAGCCTGTTTCAAGGATCCGGCTTCGCAGGAAACGATACAGCAAATCTGTGACTCCATTCCTGAGGTCGGATGGGAAGTAGATGCCCACACGCACTATTCCATTGTTGCCGACCACCTCAGCTCGCGTTTAGCCATTGCCTTTCCAGCTCAAAGTAAGCCGTGTCGGCGCTCATTCTTTACCCCAGCCACCTGGGATCTAAGGCAAAGACGAGTCGAGCTGCGTAAACACCTCAGTTGGGCAAACCGCAACATTCGAACTGCCGAGCTTGCCGGTTCCTTTTGTGCGTGGATTGGCATTGACACTTTGGGTAGTCAGCTGTGCAGACGGATCGCCGCCTTGCTGCGAGCTTTGCACACAGCGACAAAAGGAGTTGCCGAATTGCGACGCCTGCAGCCAGTTTTGCGTAGGTCCATCCAACATGACCGGAAGGCTTACCTGCATGAGGTCGCCAAAAGTGCTGCCACCTCCCATACTAAGGATGTGGTGGCTAAGTTGAGGCCCCTGCTTGGCCCACCCAAGAGACAATGCAGAGGAGTCCAGGCGTTGCCGATGATACGGCTTGAAGACGGAACCTTTGCCGAGGACAAGGATTCTGCCGATCAACGGTGGCTACGCCACTTTAGTGCTGTCGAAAGTGGCCAGCCTGTCGATGTCCAGACCCTCATTGCTGATTGTCTGGAGAGACAACAAAAGGCTGATACTGATAGCTTGTGCCTCGAGCGTGTTGATTTGCCAACTAGGCTCGACCTCGAACGCAGCATGAGATCTGCGCAGTGTGGCAAGGCGGTCGGAAACGACGGGGTAGTCCCAGATCTCCTGCACCTGCAAGCAGCAGCCCTTGCACGGCCGGTCTACCAAATCTTCCTTAAGGTTGCATTCCGCCTGCAGGAACCCATTGCTTGGAAAGGTGGCACTCTTCACTCTATTTGGAAGGGGCGGGGAGACCAAGCTGACTGCGAGAACTACAGGGCCATCCTGGTCAGCAGTTCCATTGGCAAAGCTGTGCACGGCATGTTCCGCGCCAAATGTTCCCCATACCTTGAACGGGCATGCACGCCCATGCAAATTGGCGGAAGGAAGGGCCAGCCGGTCCAAATTGCCACCCACGCCATTCGAGCCTTCCAAAAAGCATGTGTTGACAGACGGAAATCTTGGGCTATCCTGTTTGTCGATCTACGGGAAGCATTCCATCGTGTGGTGCGCCCTCTGATTCACGGAGGAGACCTGAGCGATGAACACCTCGCTGGAGTGATCAAAGAGATAGGTCTCCCCCCGCAATCCGTCCATCAGCTTCATGCGTATGCTCGAGATCACTCCCTTCTTGAGGATGCTGGAGCATCCGATTGGACGTCCCAGGTCATGAAAGAATTCATGGAAGACACATGGGTGACCTATGGCAACAGTGCCCACATAGCAGCTGTCACTGCGGGCACACGCCCGGGGGACAATTTGGCGGACCTAGTTTTCACATTCCTCTTCGCGGAAATTTTGCATCGAGTCCGAGCCAAGTTTCAGGAACTCGGCATTTCCGTTAGCATCCCTTGGCACCCTGCGTGGCTATGCCAGCCCAAGCACGCCGTAGCTGCAGATACGTGCAGTCCTGTCGATGCGACATGGATGGACGACCTCTCGGTTGTCACGAGTGATAACTCCGCACAGAAACTTGTGGGCAAGCTACAGTTGGCAACCTGCATAACCTTGGAGGAATGCCCCAAAGCGGCTCTGTTGCCAAACCTACGTGCCGGCAAGACAGAGGCGCTTGTCGCCCTCTATGGTCCGGGCTCCACAACCTTGGCCAAGGAGATCTTCCAAGGCAAAACGCCCCAACTGCCCATCGATTCACATCTGTGGCCACAAGCCCGATTGGGTTTAGCCTCTTCCTATAAGCACTTAGGAGGTTTGCTCCATGCCAGAGGTGGGCTAAAAGTTGAAATCCGTGCTAGACTTGGCAGCGCCTGGCAAGCTTTCAACAAGCATAGGAAGCAGGTTTTTGCGTCTCCGATAGTCCGAGTCTCCGAAAAGGCTGTGCTCTTTTCGTCCCTTGTGGACTCGACCTTGTACTACGGCAGTGGAACGTGGTCTGGTGTAACCAGTGCTGATGTCGCCAGATTGCAGAGCAACCTTGTCGATATGGCCAGATGCATAGTAGGCAATGGTAGAGGGCGCCCTCCTGACTGTCATGAGAGTCACTTGAGCCTGCTTGCTTCAGCTCGGATTCCCACGGTTGCCACTTCCCTGCATGTAGAGCGTTTACGCCATTTTAAGTCTACGGTGCTGAAGGCCACTGCTGAACTCTGGGCCATCCTGCACCATGAATCAGGCTGGATTGCAGAGGTCCAGGCCTCTCTTAAATGGCTCAGCGACATGCACAGGCAGGCCGGATCATGTCCGCCGTACTGGGATGACTGGACCACAGCAGTCACATACATTCGGGAGCAGCCTGAGGCGTGGAAAAGGGCAATCAATAAAGCCAGACAAACTGCCATCCTCAATGAATTGTGGCAAGCTGAGCTGCAGAAGTATCGTGGTTTAGCTTTCAGAGCTTTCCTGAAGGCTGGTGCATGCCTGCCACACGACGTGACCCAGAGGGCCAGCAGTCCAGAAGTCTGTGGGAGATGCGGGATTGTCTTTGACGATCTCAGAGCGTGGTCGCACCACGCTTTTAAACGGCATGGGCGACTCAACCCAGTTCGTCGGCTTGCTCACGGCACGCAGTGCGCAGTTTGTCTTGGTCAATTCCGTGCAAACCAAGGGCTTTGCAATCATCTGACCTACTCCAGGAAATGCAGGCATGCCCTCATCAACGCTGGGTTTGAGGGCATAGTTGAGCCAGGAGTAGGAAGCAAGAAATTCGATCAGGGAAAGAAAGTCCTCTTGCCTGCTGTAAGAGCACAGGGGCCCCAAGGACAGTGGGACTTTACGCCTGCTGTTGATGAACAGGATCAGCCATCCGATGCCATTCTTTGCAGGCTTGAGGATTGCTTCTGTAATGAGGGCGAGGCCTATACTGACTGGAGCACTCTAGTCGAGGCGATCCGGGCAATTTTCTGTGGAGAGTGCCTGCAGCTTTCACGACTGAAGGCTACTGCTCGACAGTGGTCCCAACAGCTGCAAGCCGAAATCGATAGAGATGAGGAATGGGAGATCCGTTGGGTTTCCTGGCATCTTCGACTTTCCCGTCTTTTGCAAGAGGTTGATTTTGTAGAGTGGCTCAGTGATGAAGGCTGCACGCCTTCTCTTGTTACTTCCACTTTCAGGGATGCAGAGATCCTTACCCCGTGGCTGGAACTACACAATGTTGCTGTTACAAGTGTGCCTGTCCCGGTTTCTTGGGGATGGTGCTTCTCAGGCACTGGAGTTTTGCCTCCCTGGGCTGAATGTCCTCCTGACTGCATCCGAGACACCCTTGACGGCGGTAACTGGATTGATGCAGATAGAACCGACGGCCTGATCTTCCTCTCAGGAGCTGGACTTCGAGTCTCCTTCTGTCCACCTCAGCCCATGCGTTCTTTCAAGTCCCTTTCTACTCCTCTCCAACATCTTCGCCTCCTTTCCGATGCTGTCAGGGGCACTTTTCACCTTTGGACGAAGCGAGTCCCAGCGTGCATCTTGCTTCCTGAGACCTCCTGCCAGACAGTTGAGGTCGTTCGCAAATGTGCTCCCTTTAGATTGCACAGTGATGAAGGTGAGCTCTTTGCGAACTTCTGTCCTCAGGATTGCCCCCTTGTTCGTTTCACCTCTTAATTAACTGCAGACCACATGGCTGCGTCCAAACCAGGACACTACGCCCGGAAATGCGAAAATGCGAATGTGTGTATGTATGTATGTATGTATGTATGTATGTATGTATGTATATATATATATATATATATATATATATATATGAGCGTATTATATGTATAAATACACATACACAGTAGTGTATCCATAATCTGCACATCGCTTCTGGTTCTTGAAACAAATCAGAAAACAAATCATACCCCCAAGACCCTATTCGAGTTCAGGCCCCTGCATTACTAATCCCAGGGATGGTGTAAGTGAAAAGAATCACTGACGCAGCTCGTCTGAGCCTTTGTTGCCTGACAGGGCAGCATGGTTAGGCTCTGCTTTCGGGCTTCGGATTTAGAGTTTAGAAGGTTTCCTTTACAGGCATACCCTGAACCCTAAACCTGGACATATGTGTATAACACATATTCGAGAATCCAGCTCTGAACCCAAAGCCCTACACCTCACCTTGATCTCAAACCCTACAAAATAGTGGGCTCTGACCCCTCAATTAGGAGGCAGAGCCCTTGAACAAATACGTCTTCGGATCCACAGGCATTTCCTATATAGCTTCTGTCCATAGGTCTTGTCATGATAACCCCTGGTTCCCTGGTACACAACAAGACGGGTAGCCCGTCCTCTTCGGCTCGAAGAAGATTTAGGGTTCAGGGTTTATTGTCATTTAAGGTCTAGGGATTCTTGGTGTGTCTTAAGGTTTAATCATCTTTAGGTTCTGGGGTTCAGGGTTTAGGGTTTGGGGTTTAACAGCAACAAGCTTGTACTTGGGATTGGACAAGTAAAACAGGGTCGTCTCCCCCAGTTCACCCGAGCAGCGATCAGGGTCTAGGGCTTAGGGTTTCGTGTTTGCGGACAAGCCTCGGAAGCCCAGCTGCCAACGTAGTGGTTTGCTGCCCGTATATCGTAGCTGTACTTAGTTAATGTAGCTGCCAATCGTGCTGGACTTCCATGGAAGGCTCGCATGATCTTTGGTTAATCATCTGCTACAGCGACCACTTTCCATACGGCCTTAAACAAAAGACCGCCCACCAAAGCTTCACAACTGCGGCTATCCTGTCAGCCGGATATCATGGACATGAGGCAAGCCGTAGCTGCCTTTCTCCTGAGGGAGACTTGCCCAACACCCGAAAGAGCGGAAGATAAACTCCCACCTCTAACCCAAAATCACTCGTTGTTTTAATACAAACCCAGGAAGTCACAGAGAGGAGCCCTAAACAGGGCTTCGGGGTAAGAGCCTCTACAGACAGCATTTAGGCTTTAACGTTTAGGGTTTGCAGATGATGTACTATTTCGGGAAGAGGGTGCAGGGGAACCTCTAGACGAACGGCTTAGGGGCACCGGGCTCAAGGGCCCAATGTCTTCGGATAAGTCATTGCTTCGCCCGCCCCAACCGCAAACCTGCCTGAAGAATGACAGACTCTCCAAACACTGCGTGGAGAGAATCCGACACCATTGCCTAGTATAGGGGTCTTAAAATGATTAGAATAGTAATAGGGTTTGCACGATCACAAAACTAATGAACCCTAAGAACTTATTGAGGCCCCTTTCTTAAGCCACATCAGCCAACCCCGGGACTGAAAAGCAGACTCGCTCAGCCACTGCTGTGCCTTCCGGCGTCGCGTCAAAAGAAGGTTCCTCTACAAAGTCTCTGCATATATTCTACCGCCTATCCCCTGATGTCCGTTATGTCATGCGACCATGCTTAGGCTTATATAGTGGTTCAACAGGAGCTCAGTTCTATCAGTGTTGCTAAACGGATGCTTTGGGCAGCGTGGCAAACTACTGCTGTCAAAAAGATGTGCAAGGGGCCTTGCTAAGAGCACCAGAGAACGCAGAATCCGTCGAGAACCTGACTACAGACCACACGACCATTCTCGAAAAGCCGGCGGTAAGAAGTTAAAATGATGCGGGATACCCGCGAAAGATCCTTGCGAAGATGAAAAGCGGCGCCGCAAGACAGACATCCCGAACAGATCCCAGAGTGTACAAAAGAAACCCTACACCCAAACCCGAAGCTTCAAAACCTTAACAGAACTACTAAGGGACACGATAACAACGACTGCCCCGCACTGCCAATATCTGCAAACGATGACTGTGTTAGACAATTGGAGTATTTCAGTAGAGCGGGACCCCACTATAAACATGGAAATAAGCAATTGGACCCTTACCGCAATGATACATAATTGGACACCCCAGAGTCTGAGGAGCCCCCAATTAATACGATACCGTTGTACCACCCATAGCACTACCTTCACATAGTTCTAGCATAGGAGCCTTAATTAGGATGCAGGTATAGCCTAGCATCGTCTAATATGGAGTTTAGAGCATGCTAGACCCGTGTATAAAGATATCATCAAAGCGTCTGAGCATGTAAGATTCCATGTCATCATGACCCCCACCAAAACCTCTCTACGACTCAGCTCTGTAGGCGATATACTGTTGAACCCAGATGAAGCCCAAAGAGGCTAAGGTCGCGCGGTCCTAGCTAGATTCGGGGTTTAGGGTTTTGGGTGTAGATTTCTAGAGTTTCAGAAATTACATGCCAGGTCTAGAGGAACCTCCTTTGACCTCCAGGCTTCGGAAGCCGCATTCAGCGCGAACCTCTTTGATTTCTGCTTCCAACCTGGTTTAGGGTTCAGGGTTTAGGGTTTAGGGGTTTAGGGTTTAAGCTTCAGGGTGTGACGGTTGAGGGGAGTAGGGCTTAGAGTCAAAAACCTAGGGTTTGTACGGCCTAAGGAAGGGGTTGGAATTTGGGGGCTTTGTGATCTGGGGGTCTAGGGCCTAGGGGGCTTTGGGTTCCAATGTGGCTTTCGGATCTATGACTAGGGTCATGGTTTTAGCGAGCCCGGGTCTGAAAAACAACAGCACAGACATCTCCTCAGAATCCACGTGCAAGTAGAATAAACCCCTTAGAAACATACTCGCGACGTTAAGGTTCATGGATTGAGGTGGGGAGGCTTTCGGTGAAAGTTTGGGTCCAAGAGCTCAGCGTTCACATTCCACTAAACCTGAAACCGCAAACCCTGAATGACGTCCCCTTTAGGGTTCGAATTCAGGTTAAGAAGCTAGGTTTCTCAAGGTCTGGCATCTCCTCAGGCCGAAACGTTATCGGTTAAGGGCTTCGAGTCTATTCGGCGGAACCGGGGCTTGGGGTTGGCCTTCTTCGCAACTACCGGTTTACGGCTTTGGGGTTTTAAGGCTCCTTTAAGGGACCTCGAAGGTTTCTACAACAAGGAGAGGACAAGCGTCGTGGGTCGTTGGCGTTGCCTTCTGCTGCTGATGATTTTGGTTGAGGGTTTGGGGCCTTGATTGTCATACCCATAGGCTCCATAGTAGTTCCGTTCTGGGATTACCCGAATTATAGGATTCTAAATATGAACCCCAAAAAGGAACTACTGTGGAGCCTATGGGTAGTCACTGTTGGGGGACTTTCATGCGATGACCGCGGATCGAGCGTCGGAGCGCTTCGGCTTTTCGGTCTTCTTTGAGTTCACCTATAGTCTCCATTGTAGCTCCTTTTTTTGGTTACCCACTTTTATGGTTAGGATCCTATAATACAGATTTTGGTTGACCAAAAAGGAACCACAATGGAGTCATGGAGACTATAGGCAAGGACAAGCTGGGGCAGAGAATCTGCAAAACCATCGTGGTAGCTGTGTGCTGGCCCCAAACCGTCCGAAGATCCCGACCAGCGTCCCAGAGACTCCAATATCCCCGAATTACGGAAAACTATAATAGCATCCCTAATCAGATTTGAAGTATATATTCCATAATTAAGGGATATTCGAGTCTCTGGGGTGTCAGTCTTGCCATGGGAAAGCTGCGTACACGCAGTACGCAGCTTAAGGATGGCTCGGCTTCGGCTCAACGACGAAGCTGGTGCGGCCGGCACCCTAAACCCTAAACCCCGAAACCCTAAATCCTAAACCCCGAAACCCTAAACCCTAAACCCCGAAACCCTTAACCCCTAAACCCTAAACCCCAACCCCTATAAACCCTAAACCCCTAAACCCTAAACCCTCAAAGCCAATGCACCACGCAGTGAAAGGCAGCCGCAATGCTTCGCCCCTGCTGTACAAGGAAGCAGACCAAACAACGCCCATCAGAACCTTGTCAAAATCAACCCTAAACCCATAAACCCTAAACCCTTAAACCTTGTTAAACGCTTATGTAACCTCATCACGTCCGATAAACCATGGGGCTTGCAAGAGTTGCGCTTAACCCAAATCCCATCCAGAGAAATCGCATCCCAAAGATACCGGACATCTAGAGTCGAGGCTTTAACGGCTTTGGGATTGAGTTTAGGCCTTAGTGTCGGCGGGGCAGTTCCATGGGTCCAAAGTTTGAGTCCAAAGCAAATCGTTGTCAGGTACTGGCACTTGGCTTTAGGATTGTCGGTTTGTGGGCTAGCACTTTGTGAAAGCATACGACTTGTTGGTGCTTGGCTGCACTTGGATTCTTAGGGCTAAGGTGGCTTAGATACCAAGATGTCCATTGCTAGGCGGGTCATTGAAGATGTTACTTGCTTCCCCTCCCTGATTTTTCATGATGTCCCATGCTCCTGCATAGTACATCCTTGGACCCTAGAGCTCACAGGAACAAGGCTCGGGGAAACCCCATTAATCAAGGCGGAAGGGCATAGACAGACATATGTGTATATATATATATATACAGTATGTAGGTGAGCGGCTTTCCTGATGTCTTAAGTCATGGCTTCCGATTCCACAAGCCAGGCGGCTGGTTCGCAAATTTCTGATCGTGAGAGTTGTTCCTCAAGGCAGCGACAGGACCATATCGACTTCCCAGCTTTCCGGCTTTTGCGAATGAGGCTTTGGGGTTTACGCTTTTCAGGTTGACCTATATATCGCTCAAAAACCCTGAACCCTCAAGCACAATGAGTCTCAACACTGGGATCTCGGGTTTAGGGATTTTAGTTCGACGCCCCGTTCAATGAAGAACAAGGCAGCGCCGGCTTCTGCGACCCATGACCCCGCGCGGCGGGGAGGGGGGCTTGGGTCGCAGAAACCGGCGGCGATAACTTCCTGAATCTTAGTGTAGGGATACCTTTGTTTTTATCTCAAGCCCCGCCGATACACCCGATACACCGCTGAGTGTCGGGCTGTGAACTCATCTCATCCTAGCCTAAATGCAGGCAAGCGGCATCACCAAGCAAAGTAAGCTCATGATGTTCATGCGCTCAAGGAGAGTGTCCATCCTTGAAGACCTGAATTCGAAGCCAAACACAGACTGTTGCTTTGGGGGGGCTTTGTGCGGCAAGCATATGTTCAGGAACCTTAAGGAACTGCAAGGAATAATAGTAAGCTAAGCCATTACACCTGAGCTGTAAACCGTACTACGGTCCTGTAACAGAAGCCCCTACGAACACCTAAACTTCCAATATCAACATCTACATATCTGCAGCCAGACACCAAGAACTGTAGCTTCCGTATGATGACTTCGCCACCAAACCCTAAGACTCCATGTGCCCATATTGCCATATAGTAGGTACTTAGGCCTTAAAGGGTCCCTATATGGGTACTTTAAGGCCAAGTACCTACTCTATGGGCACATGGAGCCTTTGGGAAAAAACTATGCCATGACCACGAGATTCTGCCTCGCTGCTACCTACCCAGTCCGACAGCCCTTTCTCTGATCATCGTATGAAACCCCACAACCCGAAAACGGTTTAGGGTTTAGGGTTTTGGGGTTTAGGGTTTTGGGTTTAGGGTTAACCCTCAACCCCAGCCGAATGCTTCAGGCATCCATGATAACCTGTAAGGGGTCCTTAGATCCCCCCCCCCCAAAGTGGCGATGTGGACTTGAAGGGTCATACCCAACCCCTTGATTAGGGTACCCAGATTCTTGGGCCAGGATCTATTATAAAAAGTAGGTTCTTCGCTCGAGGCAAACTGGACGCCTGACACCTTTCCACCACCCATTTGGCGGGTTGCGGGAACTCAACCCCTGAAGCAACAGATAAACCAACTCATCTAAGGAAGCACGATGGAAATTCCATATGCTGGGATCTTATACAAGGTAGCCTGAGCAAGGCATCTCACAGTAAGTTTGGGGAATTTAAGGCCGCAGAGACAAACCTCCACATGAACCACAGAGCCCGAGCTCAGCAAGCTTAAAACAAATGAGGGCTGCATCATGAGCATCATCTGCACACCATCATCGTAATAATTTCAACACCATCACCGCCATCATCAGCAAAGTCATCATGCTCACCGTCACCGTCGTTACTCTAACGCGTGTTGTGCCATAGTCATCACAACCATCGACATCATCATAATCGCTAACATCGTCATCGTTTTGGTTGTTATCAGCAACAGTGAATCCTGTAGTGGTAACGAGGTAACGAGAAGCAGCAAGAGCACGACCTTCATGTCGACGCGCGCCACCATCCGTAATCATAACCACTGTGTTCTGGACAGACTCCCGGTTCGATCATGTTGCGACTCCTGCCAGAGCTACTCCAAGGCCTGCTACTTTGATTCTTACTGCTTTGCCGCCAAGGCGCTCGAACTGTTGCATCACGTCATTGTTGATGAAAAGGTTGCTGTTAGCCAAGGTCGTTTCCAACAGCCTGGCGTCTCGAGTCCTACTTTTCGAAATTGCAAATCCCAAATTTGGAAGCCGACGAATTAGTAGTAGTACTAGTAGTAGTAGTAGTAGTAGTAGTAGTAGTAGTAGTAGTAGTAGTAGTAGTAGTAGTAGTAGTAGTAGTAGTAGTAGTAGTAGTAGTAGTAGTAGTAGTAGTAGTAGTCGTAGTAGTAGTAGTAGTAGTAGTAGTAGCAGTAGTAGTAGTGGTGGTGGCAGAAGTAGTAGTAGTAGTAGTAGTAGTAGTAGTAGTAGTAGTAGTAGTAGTAGTAGTAGTAGTAGTAGTAGCTGTAGGTGTAGCAATAGCAGTAGCAGCAGTAGTTGCAATAGCAGTAGCAGTAGTAGTTGCAATAGCAGTAGCATTGTAGTAGTGGTGGTAGTGGTAGTGGTCGTGGTCGTGGTCGTGGTAGTGGTAGTGGCAGCAGCAGCAGCAGTAGCAGCAGCAGGAGTAGCGGTACGTAAAGCTTCAGCTCCGCTTACAGCACCAAGCCTAGTTCGTCTTCTTCCGGTAAACGTGGCTGCTAAAGGTCAGAGGCACCGATCAAGGGCGGGCCATGTGCACCACTTCGAGCGTCTGCTTCGCAAACACTCAGCAACGTCGGACGTGCATAGTGCTTCTATGTTGCTGTTGCTGCTGCTGCTGCTGTTGGTGGTGGTGTTGGTGTTGGTGTCGGTGTGGGTGTTGGTGTTGTTGCTGGTGCTGTTGTTGTTGTTGCTGCTGCTGCTGCTGCTGTTATTGTGACTGTTGTTGCTATCAACACTAATGTTTATGATCGTTTGCACTGTTGCTATTGCTACTCTTCTTGTTCTTCTGATCAACTAGGCATTAACATCATGGTTGATATTATTACACACCCATAACTCATCTGTCCCCACAAAAGCGGCGAAGGAGCTCTATAACCACAGACATAGCCGCAGTAAGCCCAGCTCTGCTTGCACCTCTGGGACGGCGGCATTAGGCTTTATACACGGCTTAGGAGGCTTAGGGTAGCTTCAGGGACTCAGGTGATAAGATTACGGCGCATGGGCTCGGTTCTAGAGAACCTACAGATGTCACCCTACACTCGTATGAGGTTTCTGGGTTACAACCTGGTGTCGCTGAAAAACACCAACAGAGGCCGCCAAAGCAACTAACGCGCAATACCGCCAGAAGCCTGATAACAGGCACACCCCCCTTCAAGGACGCAAGTAGCCTACAGTAAACCCTAGAAAGTTGGAAACCGGATTGAGGCCAAATAGTGCTCGGATTCCCTATACATTACTCTCAAGGATTGAAGGTATGGGGTTTCCAACTGTTGGGCTTCTACTGTAAAGGGGTCGAGGCTCCAGGACCGGACTGGGATTTATAGTATAAACGTATAGAGCCTGTGTCTGGCATTTGGCTGGCCTTTTGTTTATGGATTTCTGGTAACCCTAAACCCTAAACTTTATATGCCCTAAACCCCAAACCCTAGACCCTAAACCACAAACCCCAGTATGGTAAAGTAGAAAAGCCTCACGCTCCGGAGATCCATTTTCGGGAGCCCGGCCCCTGAACTCCGGCGCTTTACCGTTTAGGGCGAAAAGGGTTCAGGGTTTATGGGGTTTAGGGCGTATAAGGTTCAGGGTTTAGGGTTTAAGGCGTATTTAAGGTTCAGGGTTTAGAGTTTAGGGCGTGTATATATATATATGTATATATATATATATATATGGTTTGTAGGGTTTAGGGTTTAGGGCGCATCAAGGTTCAGGGCTTAGGGTTTAGGGCATATAAGTTTTAGGATTTGGGGAGGATAAGGTTCAGGGTTTAGGGTTTAGGGCTCATAAGATTTAGGGGTTTGAGCGTATGTATATATATATATATATATATATAGTTTAGGGTTTCGGGCGTATAAGGTTGAGGGATTAGGGCGTAATGCACCCTTCAGGTTGGAATCTTGCGAGGGCTAGGGGGTTCGGGGCTCTGTCGGGTATAGGGCTTATCTGGTCTATTCTAGTCTAAAGTCCCCATTTAAGGGGCTTCAGGAGCTCGGGGTTTGAGGCTTGGGGTTTAGGCGGGTTAGGATTATAGGACGTCCCTAAGCCTTCTCAAAGCCCGGAATTCAGTCCAAGCAGCGGGTGCGAACATGCGGCATCACGAAAACAATAAGCTGTGGCAGGCCTGAGGCACTTCAATTCTGTAGGCCTTTGGGCGTTATAAGGATTTAACTATTAACACTCAACCTTCAAACCCCTACACATCCCCTGAACTAAACCCAAACCCTGGAATACACGTCCCCGAGCCCGGGGTACGTTGCACGAAGGAACTGATACCGTCGTTGCCTCCTCGCTGCTAAATCCATTCCACTCACAGAAATCAATATACACCAAACAGCACCTTGCATCCATAGATCCCGAAACTCCAAATCCCTAAACCCCGAAAACTGCAAAGCCCAAGCCGTAAACCCCTAAACTTTAAATCCCTAGCCCCCAAAAAAAAGCCCTAAACCCGAAAATCCTAAATCCCCAAACCCTATACCCTGAAGGGGACGGACAAGTGGCCTCGCTGCTTGCTTCAGTTAGATGCCCTTGACTTAGACTATAACTGGAACAGGGTTCTGAGTATGTTATAGTACAATAAACAACGGAGACCCAACGAATCTTATGACTACCTATTCAGGCTCCTCCTGGTCTTCGAAGAAGGTAGCACGTCTGACTGAGCTCCAGCATGTCTGCACTTAAAATGCTAGAAGTACAGGGTGCAAAGACAACCCGGGTTTGGGCAAAAACGCACTCGCAGGGTACACGTGGGTCCCCCGCCCTGAGCTCCCTCACGGTTTAGGGTTTAGGGTATACGCAGCCAGCCACTCCTCCTCCATGCACCACATGAGTGCCCTTTTCTTCGTGGGTGCGGTAGCACATGAACCGCAGTGCGTTCCAGCTGTTGCAGGGATCTGAAAACCCATGCATTGCCCCATTTGTGGCTGGCAAAACCATCCGCAGCTACCAGTTTAAGCTCGTCCTCTTCGTCGGATTCCTCGAACGTTGCCCAGGCAAGCAAACTCTGCCGGTGGAGCTGTCGGTGCCGCAGCAGAGATTTCCGTCAGGCTCCCATTTTTGAGATAGGTGAAGAAATACCTTACGTGTACCGATGTACGGTAGGACAAAATGTTTTTGAGTGCTATTCCGAACAGGGCCACCCACTGCATCTTCTCGCCGGCCACTGTGAGGTCGCTTTGCTTGCGACATTCCTGTTGAAAGCGTGACTCACCGCCCGCGGTGGAAACCTAACATGGGTGCTGTCAAAATTGAAGTCCCTTTTTGGGTACCATAAATAATAGGTGCCGTATTATAATAGGGAACCAAAAAGGGACCATAATTTCGACAACCACCCACATGCATCTTACAATAAGAATCTTATAATGCTTACGGTTGAGGTTAATCATCGGTTTTCGCTTCCAGTCCGAAGCGATTTTCACGGTAGCCAGAAATCATCCTAAAGCGAGATAACCCTAAGCTCGAGAGCACGAGAGTCTTAATGAGTAAGCTGGCTTAAAAAGCGAAGCTGGACCCTAAACCCTTGAAATACAGCGTTGAATCCCTACACCGCTAGACCCTAATAATCCAAAAACCCTACCACAACTCTTGCAAAATCAGCAAGCAGCCTTACCCTTGACCGTTACCGACTACGCCAAAAGCAACCATCCACAGCCCTTAAAGCTGAGATGCTTAGTCTGCGAATCAGACTTCGCTGACATCGGTCGGGCACTGCGGGTCGCCTGAGATGCTGGAAGTGACCTCAGCTTGCCATTGTAGGGCTCTTTGCAGAGGGTTGCAGGATTCGGGATTAGGACAGGTTCCAGGGATCATTTAACATAAGTGGTCGGTTTAGGCTTGACAGCTCAGGAACTACGGAAATGTGGGCCGAAGGTCTTAATTCGTTGTCTCGGTCGCTGGGTCTAGGGTTTCGGGTTCATTTGCTTCGGGCTGGGATCTGAGGCGTGGCCTCTTCAGGGTTCAGGGATTCATGGCTGATAACTTCAGCAGTGGAGGGTTCAGCCGTCTTGCAGCTTAGGCTTTGCAGGAGTTCATTGCTCCGGGACTCTCTGAGCACAGGGCTTCGGGGACTTATGGCTTTCACTAAGGAATATATACTTCAAATATAATAGGATCCCTAATAAGATTTATAGTATATATCCCTTAAAGTAAGAGATATATTGAAGTCTCTAGAAGGCTTATAGGATTTAAGAGACTTGGGCATTTCTAAGACTCTACCTCGAGCCCGGCCTCGGCTAGTACTTTTCTGGCTCCGGATTCATAAGGGTTTCCGGATCCCATAGACTCCAATGTATCCCATACTTTAAGGAGTATATACCTTAGAAATCTTCTTAGGGATCCAATTATATAATTGAGGTGTATATATATATATATATATATATATATTCCTTAATTGAGGGATATTGGAGTCTCTGGGTTTAGGGGTGAGGGAAGCCCAAGAAAGAACCGTATAGCTCAGAAGCTGCCCCCACCCTGTAACAGTGACTATGAGGATTCTGTTAGGGCCCTACTATATTCCTATTATACCACTATTACTGAGTGGGGGCCGTACCCAACGTCTAGTTCGCTAGCATCTTGGGAGACCTCGCGGACACGTTCGGCACGATATCGGAACCCCTATAGAAAGCCAAAGTTTCGACTACCCTAAGGCCCCAAAGTAGTTCCTTTAGGGGGTTCATATACAGAATCCTTTCAAGTAATCCCAAAAAGGAACTACTTTGGGGATTCTGGGTATGGACCCTTGTGCCTAAACCCATAAAAGTCAAAGGTATCCACTAAAGCAGCAAGCTTGACGTGATGCTTAGAGTAAGAAGCATCCACGGAAAACGGAGCAGCTGGGCAAAGCAAATGCGGCAGACCGCCACGCTCCGAACCCCGAGGCAGGCGCTATGTTTCGGGTTTCCGTTTAGGGTTTCGGGCTTGGGGTTCAGGGTTTAGGTTTAGGGTTTCGGGCTCAGGGATCAGGAAGCCGATGTAGGGCCCTGCAAAGCACCCCAAAAGAGGAAGAGAGTTTAGTGGCACTAAAGTATAGTCTTAAGGAGGACGGCCGCCCAAAGCCATGCAGCGCGTCAACCTCTACCTTTTGAATCTGAACCTTCGTAACATAGCAACCCGAATGATCAGAATAGTTTGCTTGCTGGCACAGTGGTTTTTAGACTTAAATAATAGGAGCAACTTGGGGATACTATATTTATTATTATCTATCCAGAACTCTATATTTGGGTGGTTGTCAAAATTAGGGTCCCTGTTTGGGTCCTTGATAGAATACGGCACCTAATATTTCGAGTAAAAAGGGGCCATAATTTCGACAACTGCCTAAACCCTAAACCCTACGAAACCCTAAGCTTTGACTTCAGGCTCGAGGCAGTATCCGCAAGCGGAGCCGTTCTCGCATTCGCCCCTCTCATGGAACAGACCTCGGAAGTCGCTTCCTCTAGCCGGGCTTCGGTCTCACTACCTAAAGGCTCCATAGTAGTTCCTTTTTGGGGCTCATACTTAGAATCCTATAAGGAAATCCTAAAAAGGAACTACTATGGAGCCTATGGGTAAGCACTACATGCACAGTATATTACTTCATCTGAACAACAGAGTAATTACAGTGACCTAATGCGTAGGTAAGTGGGTTTCCGGTGTTAGAGAGCTATCCTGCAACCTATGCAAACAAGTAGGATAAACATCTTGACGTCTTTCTAGGGACCCCTTCCGGGCCCTCATCCAACACGGTACAGAACGATAGGAACTCGTCGCAGAAGGCACACAAGTAAAGATGATTTGTATTGCAAATGTACTATGTATACACATACATATATATATATATATATATATTTATTTATGATTGAAACTTTGTATTTAAATCTATATAATTATAGTCATAATTATGTATATGTACATGTGTATGTGTTCATGTATGCATGTATGCATGCATACATGCATGTATGTATGTGTATATATACATATATATGTATATATATACACACATACACATGTATGCGTATGTATGCATACCTCTTGTGCGTGTATGTATGTATATATATATATATATATGTACACACACATGTCTATATATATATATATATGTTTATCTATATGTACCTTCTCGTACAGTTGTATATACTGCCGTGAACGCCCTGTACTGTATCAGAACCCACTGTTCAAGAACCTTAGCCCCTACCCCCGGCGCGAGTCACAGAACTCAGGTTGCTTCAAATTAAGAACCTGAGGGCCGGTGCCCTAGCTTGTCTTATGGTCAGGGGTGGGAAAAGGCAAAAAAACAGTTAGTGGCAAACGCTACTTCGTTTTTGCCCCGGGCTTCGGCAGGCAGGGGTGGGGGCGGGGTTGGCGGCAGGGGTGGGCAAAAGGAAAAACGGATTAGCGTCAGACACTAATTCGTTCTTGCCCAGGGGCAAGTGAATTCTCCCGTGAGTGTCTTAGGACTGCCTATTTTAGCCGAGTGGAAAAGACTCTAGCCTTGACAAGATAGTAGGCTGCGATCTCTTGATCATAGGGTACCACCGCCCTAAAACCGTAGGTGATTGCAGCCCGAGGTAAACGGTAAACCCTAAACTCGAAACCACCTCCAGGGTCCTTGTGAAACAGGAACTAAACCCTAAGCCGTTGACCCCTAAACCTCTATAGGGTCCAGTAATACTCTGTACTGAACTTGGAACCCTAGCAGAATTTGTAATTTTAGCTGTTTCTTAGGGATTATAATAACCAAAAATTGAAAGTTAATTCTAAGAACCCCTATGTAAACTCTCAAAGCCAAGACACAAGGCTTCCTACAGAGCTCAGGGTGACCCAGAGAGCCGGCATTGTAGCGCTCACAGAGGCCGAGTTCCTGTAAGCCCAGTCGATTTGGCTTCGAGAGGGTTGAGGATTTAGGGATTTAGGATTCGGGGATTTAAGGCTTTAGGGTCTGGGGATTTTGGATTCGGGGATGTAAGGCTTTAGGGTCTGGAGGTTTAGGGTTTGGGGATTTTGGATTTGGGAATTTAAGGCTATAGGGTCTGGGGGTTGAGGCTTTGGGGTTTTAGGTTTGGGGTTGAGGGCTCGCTGTTTTCCCGGGCTTTATGATTTGGGGAGTGCCCGGTTGGACCTGCGACACAGCCCCGTTGACTTGTTTGCATTAACGGCCTACAGGAACTTGGAGGAATGCTTTTATTGCGATGTCTCAAAACAATCTGGTCAAGAGATACACGCCAGCAGCTGGGGTTTAACCTTACTAAACCCAAAACCCTCAACCCTAAAACCAGGGTGTTGTATAGCGAGCCCTAGACTCTACCCTAGACCCGGCACAATTCGTGATCTAGTACGGTAACTAACGTACAAGCAGAATAGTTGCTAAGAAAACTGAGCCTTGGTCTCAAAGCCCAAGCCCCTAGACCCTATCTGTCCTGGAAGCTCAGTCTTAGTCAGAACGCGAGACGAAACAGCCCAAAACGCCTTGCCTCGTATGGGCCCTTGTCTAGTATGGGCTCTACTTGGAGGTTCAGGGGTAGTTATAAGTGGGGTTATGCGCCCCCTAATTAATTAAGGTTACAAGCATAGTTACCTTAGCTCTAACCCTACTTATAACTACCCTAAACCCTAAACCCTCATCCCTAAACCCTATAACCCTATAGATCCCGTCAAAGTAACCCTACTTATAACCTCCCATGAACCTCCAAGTGGAGCCTACACGTTTGGGGTGAAAGAACTTTAAGGTCCCGAACTCAAACTCCCAAAACCTTCTAATTACATCCTAAATCCGGAATTCCCAAAAAACCTATCTATCTACCTACCTATATATATATATATATATATATATATGTATATATATATATATATATATATATATATATATGTATATATATATATATATATATATGTATTTATCTCTATATATATATACACATACAAACATATACAAAAATACATATATATATATATATACATAGAGAGAGAGGGATATATATTTATGTATATATATATATATATATGTGTGTGTGTGTATACATATCCCTATAAACCCCAAAGCCCCTAAATCCCAAGGCAAGCTGCATGGGGGCCCTTGGAACGAGAAGGAGGATGCGGCACTTTGGGCTCGGAAGTCTCCTCAACTTTCTGCTCTGTGCAGCCTAGGCATTGGGAGGCGTCGGGATTACCTGAACCCGCCAAACTCTGCAGAATAAAGAGTTTGTTCAAGGTGTTTAGCAACTATTGTACCTACGCGTTGGGTTTAAGTAATGTTTAGGGTTTAGGGATGTCTGGGGCTTATGGCTTTAGATTTTGGGGCTCGGGTTCGGGTTCAGGGTTTGGTGATTAAGATGGTTTAGGGCTCATCTAGGGCTCGAATAACCTATTGTCTTCCGGGCTCCCTACAAATAAGAAGACATATCCATTTTGTAGGGTTTAGGGCATGGCCTGGGGGTTGAGGGTTGAGGTCTTAGGGTTTGGGATTTCAGAGGGTGTGCTGGTAGTGCTACATGAATTCTTGACAATAAACTGGGGGTTTTGCATACGCTTTGAGGGTTTACTCTCTGTGAGGACTCCACAAGTACCCTTCAATTTAGCCTAGAGGTATGGTTTGTGGCTTCAGCTTTTGCAATATCGATTGAAGATCATTGAAGCCGTGTAGCCGGCATCGAGGGATGCAGGCTTCGGGTGAGTCGCAATCTGCATTGCAGGCTGCGCTGCGTACCCAGAACCTCGCTTCGAAATCGAGTCGACGACTGATCGGCTTAGAGTTGGGGGGTTGGGTTTGGGGTTCAGGGTTTACGGCTTAGAGTTGACAGCTTGGGTGTAACGATTCGGGTAAAGTGTCGTATTCAAAGGTATCCCATCTCGCCGAAGGGTCTAAGCACTTCTATATCGAATCTCTGGGGTGCCCACCCTGCCATGCGAGGGTTTGCAGACTGCTTTGAGCCCAAGGGTATCCGTTCGCGACAGAGGACTGTTTAGTTTGGGATTCAGGATTCATGGTTGGCTGGGATAATGGGTTTAGGGTTTAGGGTATAGGGTTTAGGGTTTAAGAGCCGGCAAACTTCGACTCTCGCTTCCCGATAACCCTGAAAGAAAAAGCCAACTGCGCACGTTTGGATGCGACCACTACGACTACGACTGCGACTACCGCTACCACTACGCATGAACACTACCACGACCCATACCCTGCCCGTACCCCTTCCCCTCATTCCCCCTACCTCTACGCTACCGCTATACCGCTATACCGCTATAACGCTGTACCGCGTTAGCGCTTTACCGCTATACCACTATACCACTACCGCTTCTACTGTTGCTGCTACTACTACTACGACTGCTGCTACTACTACTACTACGACTACGACTACGACTACGACTACTACTACTACTACTACTACTGCTACTACTACTTGGATGAACGATGTGAGGATGAGCAAGTTGATGAGAAGGTGTAGTGCAAAGCGTTGCGATCATTCGAAACCGCCGGGACTGTGTCCTGCGCAATCGCTAGGCTTCGACACGAACTCCGGAGCAGCGAGTGCAATGCAATACTACTACCACCACTACTACTCGTACTACTACTCGTACTACTACTACTAGTACTACTACTACTACTACTACTACTACTACTACTACTACTACTACTACTACTGCTACTACTACTACTACTACAACTACAACTACAACTACAACTGCTACTACTACTACTACTACTACTACTACTACTACTACTACTACTACTACTACTACTACTACTACTATGACACGACTACGACTACGGCGACTACGACTATACTACTCCTACTACTGCTAATGCTACTACGACTAGTATTGCTGTGCTGCTGCTGCTCTTGCTGTACGGCTACGGCCCCGGCGGCTACTGCTACAGTACTACGACCGTGCTATTTACTACTGGTATTCTACTGTACCACTACCGTACGACCCCTGTACTACTACTGTACCAAGACTGCGCTGTGCTATTACTACTGTACTACCGTACCGTTGCTAACCGCACTGCGACGTAATACTTCCAAACCCTTCTAAGCAGCTGCCCTATAGCCTCGAGAAACACCCACCCCACTCTTCTAGAGAGCCTATCGGCGGGGCTGGGCTGATTCAGGATGCAAGAATAGGTTAGTTGAGGGATCCCTTCGCCACAACAGAAACAAAAACACAGCGAACAACTACGCCCATCACTCGCACCGATACCACCACCAATGCTGCCACCACTACCCATGTCACTGCTGCCACTACCATTGCTAGCGAGACTGCTACTACCACGACCGATGCTGCTCTTCCTCCTACTATAAGTGTAGTGCTTAGTCTGCCTAGCCAAGAAACTCGCGACGCCTGTGGCGTGGGTGCCAGAAGCAAAATCCGCTGCTTGTGGGGATCTGGCCGACAGCTCTCCACCTGATGGACACTTCAGATCTTCAGGGATAGTGCTTCAGCCTCCAGGGCTTACGGGTGCAACGGATTTTTCTAATCTAGGCTAACAGAACTTTGAGTTGAGGATCATTGCACCGAGGCTTCGCTATGGTATGCACCGCCTGGTCAAGCTTAGTCCACTAGACGGCCTCGCTTCATGAATACCCATGAGCTACACGACGGTCAGCTTCTGGCGAAGGTAGAGAGGCTCATCGTCTGAAGCTATTCCCCAGAAGCACAGAGTTGCCTATGTCGTGCCTTTTCATCCAAAACAGAACAATGACCCATCAGACAAAAAGCCGTGCGTCTACGGGTTGCGAACACTACCGGTGCTCTGCTGCCACTACCACTAGAATTACTACTACCACTACTACTATCACTACTACTACTACTACCACCACTACCACTACCACTACCACTACCACTACCACTACCACTACCGCTACCGCTACCGCTACCACTACCGCCACTACTACTACTACTACTACTACTACTACTACTACTACTACTACTACTACTCCTACTCCTACTCCTACTCCTACTCCTACTCCTACTCCTACTGCTACTGCTACTGCTACTGCTGCTGCTGCTACTGCTACTGCTACTGCTACTGCTACTGCTACTGCTACTGCTACTGCTACTGCTACTGCGACGACGACGACCACTGTTACCACCACCACCACCACCACCGCCGCCGCCGCCGCCGCCGCCGCCGCTGTCGCTACTGGGACCGCGACCGCTACCGCTACCACTACACCCATCACTACCCCTACCACTACCACTACCGTACTCGGTATCATCACATCATCGTCGTTCGCCACAGCCACAGCAGCAAAGATGAGAAGCAGTGAAGAAGACACATCGGAAGCACTGATGCATTGCAGTCCGACCACCTTGCGGATCCAACCATCTTCCTGGTGCCAGCTCCGGTCCTTGTCGCAAGTTGGCCGCTGTGCACCTGAATGCTCTAGGGTTGTAGGCTCATGGGTGCAAAACAAGTCCTCTTGCTGTTGACAAGGTGTTCGGCTTCAGAACTTACTAAGCCAGCAACTATAGGGAATTGCTAATTTGAATGGTACTACATTTTTTGGGGGATCGCTCAGGAATGCTAGTGCTCTTTGTCAATTGTTCCGGCCTCTGTATCACATGAAGAGGAACTGCAGGGTACGGCACGGGGGGGGGGGGTCATGCGGGTATAGCTACAAGGGGATAATACAACCAGATTCTACTACTCGTCATGCAGAACTCTAGTCACCTAGTCAGACCCCCACCTTAAAACCCCATAAACCCTATAAACCGTAAACCCGCAAACCCTAAACTCTAAAGCCTTAACCATAAAGTGTAGATTTAGCCGGTTGCAGGCAGTGAGCTTGCGACTTTCGTGTCAGCTTTCTTGGGCTCCAGGACTTTGTCGTTTAGGTTTATGGTCTAGGGTTTAGGGGTTTAGGAGTTTAGGGTTTAGGGTTTAGGGGTTTAGGGGTTTCGGGCTCATGTAAGGTCCAGGTTTTGCAACTGGAAACGGTGAAACCGCTAGGGGTCTAAAACACCAACGTAACTAAATTGTATCCCATGATCCTCTCTATAATGAGGAAGACAAGTATAATGCGCTATCTTGTCTTATGCTTAACTAAGGTGTCCCAAACCCTAAAAATGACGTTTGAGGGTCCAATAGCGGTGCTGGAGTAACAGGACACGTGCAGGACGAAGTCTATTGCGATGCTCCTTTGATAGGGGCAGTCGCGGGGATGAGTGCTTTACGGTAGGGCTCCAGGTTTGGGATTGTGTAGGGTTTAGGGCTTTTAGGACTGTTTGGATTGTGAACTTTGGGTGTGTGGCCTTTAGGCTTTGGGGTTCAGGGTTTAAGGTTTCGGGTGGTCTCGGGGTCGATAGACTTCGAGACTTGTTTCGCTCTGTGTTCTACTGGGTCTATCCATGTATACCGTACATACATCGAATCTGCATGTGCTTTATAAGAATAGCTTCAAGGAGTACAACAACAACCTGAGAAGGCTAAGGGTGCAACCAGGAGCACTAAGCGTCTTCAAACCGAAACTCCACAAATGCCAAGCTCTCCAAGTCCATTCCAAAGGTCGTCAACTCCCCCCCCACACCTCGTATCCCAGCAATCATTACTCTGAGAAATGCAGGCCAGGCAATTGGAATAATACGGAACCTCGTTGTGAATCCTCTGGTGCATAGTTGACTTAGTTACATGTGTGTCCGATGATATAGTTTTGGCAGTTTGGGCATTTAAAGGACGCCCGAATCAAGTTCCTATATAAGCTGCCGTGGGTCAAAGGAGCACATGACCTTTAAGTGCCTGGACAGGAACCCATGCGAGGCCCAGGTAGAAGCGATGCATGTATTGGACCTCCAGAATTAACACTACAACCGAAGTCCCAGACCCCAAAACCCCGAACACCCCGAAAACTCCTAAACCCTCAAACCCCCAAAAACCCTAAGTCCCAAACCCTACAGCCCTAATAATGCCAGAACCCCCAAACCCTGAAGTCCTGAACCCTAAACCCTAAAGCTCTACACCTTAAGACCCCTAAAGCCCTAAGCCCTGAACCCTGAAACCTTACAGCCCTGAACCTTAAAACCCTAAAGCGCTAAGCCCTGAAGCCTAAAACCCCAAAGCCCTAGTAAGCCCTATAAAACCCTTGCATCTCAGCTGCTGAAAGGCTTGGTCAGGAAAGCTTCGCGCATTGGCGAAATCGGATGGAGGGGCTACTGCGGCAACAGAACCCCAATTTGGGAGTTTCCGAAGATTTGGGGTACCTTATTTGGGGGTTCCGATAATAAGAGGGTCCTATATTAGGGTCCCCTATGTTCGGAAACTCCGATTTAAGGCTTTGAGGGGTTGGGGTTTAGATTTAGGGTTTAGGGTTTTAGCGATTTGGGCTTTAGGGGTTTAAGGGTTCAGGGTTTAGGGTTTAGAGTTAGGGTTATATAAGCGTTTAGGGTTTTAGGCCTGCCTCGTCTCAAACCTGGTATGTGTATGCCTGCTTTAGACAACCACGGCTGCGATGCGATGACACAATCAATCTTCGTCAGATAGGAATAATTACCAATACTATTTTGGGAGCTCTTCATTGTAATTCTAATATATATATATATATATATATGACCCCGTAACTCCCAAAACCCTATTCTAATTGTGAAGGCCCCTATATTACAGAAGAATATCCGTTCCCGGCTAGGGTTACAACGGCAGTCCACCCTGTAGCGTCCATTGCCACAAGACCCTATTTGGAGGTTCACGGGTAGTTATAAGTGGGGCTGTAAGTCCCCAAACTAGGGTTATAAGCACAGTTACCCTAGTTGTAACCCTACCTATACTACCCATGAACCTCCAAGTAAACCCTAAACTGAATGCTGCGTATGACTTTCGTGTGAAGGTACATGAACAAAAGCCACGTATTTCAAGCCTGCTGGCTGGAGAACTGATCTGAAATCTGGCTGCAATGACGTACTCGCGGCTTGTGAGCAAGAAGTTCATGCAGTTTCGCTGTATGCGGCCTCGCATGGACATTGAGGGAGTTCCCGGGTGCAGCAACGGCCTCATGCCACCGGTTAGTTAGATTCCCCAAGTTTGAAAGCCGTCCTGGACCCGATGGACGATCCGTCTGCTGAAGCTGGCGCAAACCGGCTCCGAGATTCTGAGCCTGTGCCGACCTCAGCTCCCAAATCCAGAGGCCGGGAGTCGGTCGAACGAGGATGCGTGCTTTGGGATGGTCAGTTTATCTGACAGGTAGCAACTTCGAGCAACACACATACTTCGTCGTTGTGCTTCAGAACAATCAAGATTGATGCAACTGGCCAAGACAGGACTTTTACGCGAGATTCCAAGCAATACCCGGGTACTCGTACAAACAAAACATCACATGCACACTACCATCTCTTGCCAAATCACGGTTCGGTGCCCGAGTGCCGCTCCATCCGATTGCTTTAACAGGCTGGTAAGTGGCTGTTCTTCCTATGGAACAAAGGGGTCAGGAAAGATACAGATGCTGTAGATAGGACTACATTCTTGGATGTCGCATGAAAGTATAACATGAAATATTATGACGAATCACATTATCATGATTTCATCCTATATCCGATTACAGCATATTACATCAAATTCGTATGAAGGCATAGCTGCCCTATGTGCGCGGCATCTCTGGAGTGCTATACTGTCAACTTCCCAGTGCTTGAACATTCAAAACCTAGAGGCTCCATAGTAGTTCCTTTTTGGGGTTCATATTTAGAATCCTATAAGGTAATCCCAAAAAGGAACTACTTTGGAGCCTTTAGGTATACATCCTCGAACACTGATTCCTGTTTGTCCTGTATCCCAGGGTAGGTAAGGGTGAACCTTTGGGATAATGTAGCGCTATAGTCTCTACTGCTAAGCATTCAAAAAGACCGTAAGCCTGCAAATGTGCTATGTTATACTTCAGCTGCAATGCTGTATGCGGGCAGTCAGCTGTGAGTAAGCAGGCGCCATGTTTGTCAACAGCGGTGTGCCTCTGAACGGCTGTCGTGTTGCGAAGGGAGGGATGAAGGGGGGAAGTGGAAGGATGCCTTCGCAAAAGTCCGGACTATAGGGTTTATGTCTTTGGGCTTCTGGTTTGGAGTCGGGCTGTCTCTGCACGAGATTGCTGCTAGCTGCTAGCTGAGGTGCAATCGCAAGGCCAAGAAGCTTAGTGCTTGTTTTCCTTGTCCAGCACCTCCAACTTTAAGCTTAAGGACAAGCCCCACACTCTGAACCCTGAAAGCCCTAAACTCAACAGACCCCAAGTAAGCCAAGAAGCCCGAAACCTGAACCCTTGCAATAGGGCCCCCAAAAAACACATAAGCAAAAATTGGGATAGGGATATCCCATATAAACCCCCCTATCATGAAGCCCATTAAGGTAGGGATATCACTATACACTACTTATGCTTATGTGCTTTTTCGGCCCTTAATGCAACCTAGGTGCTGAATGAACTGGCCAGGCGGGGGGCACGCAAGAGCGACTGCCGGGTTGAAAGCTCCTGTGGCAACAACCCAGAGGCTCCAAAACAGGGTTTAGGGTTTAGGGTTTAGGGTTTAGAGTTTAGGGTTTAGGGTTTAGGGTTTAGAGTTTAGGGTTTAGGGTTTAGAGTTTAGGGTTTAGGGTTTAGGGTTTAGAGTTTAGGGTTTAGGGTTTAGAGTTTAGGGTTTAGGGGTAAACAATAATAAAAAATAACAGCAGTTCATAGTAGTACTAATACTACTAATCACAATAGTGATGATAATAGTGCAAATAATGTTCTAACATTACTAGTGCTACTTATACACTACCGTTATGGAATTAAGGTCCCAAAACCATGATGGGGGTGGTCTTGTGAGACCTAGTTCCATAATTGCAATATAAGTAGTATATGTGGGCTTTCTGGGCCAGGATTCGCCATAGTACCTTAAACAACGTGCCATGACCAGCCTTTGTGTGGGTTTTGTACTGGTAAACCCTTGTTTAAATTTAGAACCCTACAAAACAAGTTTTGGTAGTTCAGTTGGGGGTTTACGGCTTGAGCTTCAAGGACTTATGGGCCTGTTTAGGATGGTGGAGCTTCGGGCTTCCTTAGGCTTTGGGATGCAGGGTTTAGGGTTTAGGTTTCCCTAAACCCCAAGCCCTAAAGCTCTGAAGAAAAAAAGGCCGGTGTTGTTCAGCTACAGGGTGTGGCAGAGAGGATTGGAAGTCGACCTTCAACGCATATGCACTGTGCAAAACAAAAGGGCAAAAACAACACTCTCATCCCAACACTATGGTTCTGGGCTTTGAGGTCACAGTCGAGGCTTTCTCATGCTTTCGTCACATGTCAATGTGCATAAGCAGTATAAGAACATGACCCAGTAGATCCGTGTATCCATTAGATACCGTGTCAAAAATCACCTAACCCTGCGACCACATGCCCAAACGAAGCCGCAAGCCAAATGGCTGAAATTGTTGCGTTGTAGTTTCTATTCGGTTACAACCGAAACCCTTAACCCTAATACCCCGGAGTCCCGTTCCAGTTATGCAAGCCCTGGTCCTGAACCCGCTGGAAGACCGGCTTGGTGAAATTGACGAAAAGAGCCCTTGAGATTGGCAGCTTGTGATGACCTCGGACATGGAATCGGGCTCACGGCTTACGTTTAGGTGTTAGGTCCCATCGAAATGGCTTTTGGTCTTGGTACGAAGGGGTGGCCAATTTAGCCTGTGCCACACAGGGGAGTCAACAACGAATCCTTCCCCATGCTTTTGACGGAGCCCCGCCCCCAACGGAAACTTGAAACGCGTTTTGTTATTCGGTCTGCGTCTTGCTCCTGCCCTGGCGTTTGCTCCTGCTCCTGCTCTGGCTCTTGCTCTGGCTCCGAATCAATATGAAGTCTTTCACAAGGCCAGGATGACTTCAGATTGATTCTCCGAAACGTGTGTTGATTATTGGGGTGGTGTTTAATTTGAACAACGGGCGAGGGCTTTGGGACAAGTGCATTATGATCCAACTATGACAGAACGCAAGTGCGAAAGGATGAAAGCCGCCCATTTGGGGAGGGATGTTGTTCCAGAACCCCTCTTTGAGGCCCCGTAGCACCTTGAGCCCCGAAGTTGCTGGTAACCCCAAAAGGGATTTACGGGCTTAGGGTTTAGGATACTAGAAAATCTGATTACATACAGCTGTACAGCATCAGGATGTTTAAGTTTTAGATGTAGAGTTTCACGCATACATGAGATACTCACAGCTGCGGCATCCCCACCGCTTTAAACCAAGGGCCAGTCGGAGTAGAGAGTCTAACTTCTCACGATGAGATCCGAATCCAGGAAGGGACCCCACCATATCATGTAGCCATCCTTTCGGCAAATGATCAGTTATCAGAATGTCCAAAAGTAGATACTTGGGTTCGGGGACTTAGATTGTTTAGGTTTGCATGTATACTAAAGCGTATAAGAGGGTAACCTGCATGACCACAACACTGGGATGCCCATGTTGGTCTTCGAGAGTCTGCAGAAACAGACAACGAGAGCAACAACACAGCATGACGTGTACATAAAACATAAGTCACTAAAGATACAGACAGCCGTGAACGACAAGAGAAGATGCAAGTTTGAAGCCCTAAAGCCCCAAGCCTAAAAACGACAGCAGACCGAGCAACCATCGATTTAGAAATCAGGGTTGCGGCTGAACAATGTAGGGGCCTTCATAATTAGAATATGGTCTTGGGGGTTCCATTTTTTCTATTTATGGTACAATATACCCCCAAACCCCATTCCCTACATTAAGCTTAGCTGTTCCACGAGGTCACCACGACTTGAAACTCCTGGTGCGTACTCGGGCGCCGTGCCATGTTTCGACATCGGAGAAAAACTCAGAAGCTAGAAAGTCCAGCCGGAAAATGCTGAACATATAACACTTCAAACTTGTCTGCCGAGGTCGAAACCCAATGCTATTTGGGAGGGCTCCTTGTAACAAAAAACATATCCCCCAAAGCCCAAACCAACATCATTGAGGCCCTTATAGTATGCTACAAGCCGTTAGCCAGGGGGCGGGAAGAACTGGTTCGGCGGAACGAGACCGTGGTAACCATGTCCTTCTGAAGACGGGGAGAGAGAAAGATGCAGGGTTCATGGGGCATGTAGGGTTCTTCGGGTTTATAGGGTTTATGGGGCATATAGGGTTTGCAGGATTTATGGGGCATAGGGGTATAATACCAGGTTTATAGGGTTTACTGTTTACAAGGTGTAAGGCTTATGGGATTTGTCTTGCAAGATGAAGCTTTCGAGTGTTAATGCTTAGCGCTCAAAAGCTTTATTTTGACACTGTCAGATCTCTCAATGCTCCAACCCAAGAGCAGCACTGCAGGTTTGGGGTTGTTATAAAACCGTCCTGATTCTGTTTGACGGTCGGTCTGCTGAATCTCGTGCAAGAGGCTCACGAGATTGTCAGCCTGTGCTGACCTCAATTCTCGCACTGAGCCCAGCGATCGGGGTTCCGGGTCGAGGGCTCCAAGCTTAATGTTTGTAGGCCTGCCTAACCCCACAACTACCCCTGAAGAAACACGAATCTTCGAGTTTGCACAACGTACTGGTACCCGTCCCCACCGATGTCTGAAGATAGTCGGCCCTGACATGCATATTAAGAAAGACCGCGCATTTCAGAGACCATGAAACCCTGAACCTTGAACCCTAGCGCCTTCGTGATTGGAGTAGAGTTTTGATGTGTTTAAACCGTGAAAGAACCCTAAGGGCATAGTGTATGTACATTACCTAGGCTTCTACACCAGGGTTGGGCTTTGCGGGGCTTACGGCTGCTCGAGTCGAGGGTTTAGCGGCTTCGTCGGGGTTCGGATGTAAGTTAGGGTTAGCTTCGGCTCTGATTTCTTTGCAGTTATTCAACAAATCGTTACGAGATCATCCACAACCTATCTGGGTCCTAGGACAACCTGCATGTTAAAGGCTACCCGTTATGATTTAGCTATATTTTCGAACATTCTATGGGAGCCCTAAGACGTAGAACAGGTTTTAATATAGTCCTGTCATGGAGAAGTATATTATATGAACAGTTCTTAAGCCGCTATGAGCGCTCGAAAAAACAACCTCAAACCCAAAGCCCCTAAACCCCAAACCCCTAAACCACTGAAGCCCAAACCCCTAAACCCTAAACCTTAAGTCCTTTAGACAAAAAAGCGTAGGAACAAAATGGAAACCCAGAGGCAGGTCGGCCAGGTAGGCGGCGACGTTTGTCAACTGGTGAGGGGGTTGAACCGGTTGAGCACACACCTCCAGGGTTGGGGTTTAGGGTTTAGGCTTCAAGTTTTTTGGGGTTTGGGGTGGCGACTGTCGAATTTAGGGTTTAGGGTTTAGGGCACACACACACACACACACCTCCATCTAGATGGGCGTGCCGGCGGCTCGTTGAAATTTCCAGCGGAATGCAAGAGACCCAATGGAATATTGAGCCAAAGGCTTCGAAGCGCTTTAGGGGTTTAGGGTTTAGGGTTCAGGGTTTTGCATTTAGGGTTGGGCTACTCAAAGCAAACTTAGAAGGACCTCGACCCAACTTCAGGGGCTTAGTGCAAGACAAGAGCCTTTCATTAATGAAGAGCTGGAATGTGCGGCACACATATCCTTGCATGGTACACCTGCCTTCAACCACACTTCGTATGAATTATACTTCATCAACATATGAGCTTCAGAAATGAGAACACTCAGTTTTGTGATATATACTAATACGATTATGATACGAAGACTTCGGAATAGTATTGGTAATTGTGTACTACCGAGTTACTGTGCGCTTCTCGCAGTGGCAAAACACTGCAGCAGTTAGGCTTTTGATGTTGGGCATGTGGCTTTAGGCTCCGGGTTTTGGGATTTAGGTTACAACACGGCTTCGGGTTTAGGATGTAGAATCCCTGCACATCCTGCACCGCCATCTCTTGCACCGGCTTGGCGCATAGGGTTGATGTTATAATTATACGTTTGAATTAAAAACCCCCGAACCTTCAAGGAGTTCAGGGTTTAGGTCGTAAGCCTTTGCCCTGAGCCCAACCGGCGTTGGCATGCACCCGAGCCTGGCCTAGCCCGAAATCGGCACACGCGAAAGCATGTTCAGACTGTCAGCACCTAATGAGATCAAGACTGAAAGCACACAATACTGCACAATGATACAATACTGCACAAATGATACTGCGACTCTAATAACAACAGGAAGCCGTACAGCAGGCTATCCACATGTTGTCGATCTGCTGAAGGATTATGTGGGTAAACTGACGATGACCCGAACCTACACTACCCATGATCCCCCAGAATAAGGACGTATGGGGTACTTAACCAAGAAGCCTTAACATCATACACCCTCGTGAAATCCGAGCACCACAATGGCTTGAGTTTTTGATTGCTAGTGCGACTGGATTTTGCGCGGACCCAGAGTACTAAACCCGTTCACTATAGGGCACTTGCAGTCATTAAGGTGGTGCAGGATTCTGCTCATGAGGGCTCCTGCGAGGTTTTATAACTTTGTAAGCCTGAATGCTTTAAATTTCATCAGCAGTGTCTAGTACAAAGAGGCGTCGCAGGCTGTTAGCATGCCTTGAAGCAGATGGGTTGAACTTCTTCAGGGCTTGGGCCGACAGCTGAACTCCCGAAGCCCCTGGAACTAAGGGTCTAGGGCTTTGGGGTTTAAGGTGTCTATACTGAACTTAGAACCCTAGCAAAAATTAGAATTTTTGCCGTTTCTTAGGGATGATAATAACCAAAGATTGAAAAGTATTTCTAGGTACCACTAAGGTTTGTGTTTCGGGTCCAGGATCAAGAGCCCAGCAAGGGCTAAGCAGGCCGGCATCACAAGCAGAGGGAAAAAACAAGAGCAGAACGACTTGGGAACCAAAAGCTCGCACCTCGGAGGCTTGGGTCCCCAAGGACGTTGCAATCGAGGTGATGAGGCCCGAAAGATGCTTTCCAACCCAGCTTACAAGCCAGAAACGTCTGTGCTTACGAGAAAACGATTACAGTATTCTTGGCCTCAACCATAATGTACCCGCCATGTACGTGAAACTAGCATGCCGCAATGCACTACAGCAAGGCCTGGTTCGAATTTATTACAAAACTTACAAACACGATCGCAATGAGAATCCCAGCAACAAGAAATTACCTGCGATGGATAGCAGCAGCACTCCCGAACCCATTCTATGGAACAGCAAAGTACAACTGGCGAGGCGTGGAGCGAACCAGTACACAGCCTTGAGACTCGCCCTTAACCCGCCACCAACCTCACCTGGAACAGTTTGTCGGGGTCTAGGGGAGGGTGGGGGCTTGATGGACACCACTACTGCTGCTACTAAGCCTTGCTGGGCTGCTACTACTACTGCTACTACTACTACTACTACGATGACAAGGAAGATGGCTACTACTACTGCTACTGCTGCTGCTGCTACTGCTGCTACCACTACCGCCACCATATAGTTCTGTGTAGTTACTTCAACTAAGACTGCAACTGCAACACTACTCACTACTCCTGCTCGTGCCCCTCTTCCTCCTCCTCGTGCTCCTCCTCCTGCTCCTCCTCCTTCTCCCCCGACGACTACGACTTCTTCTTCTACTACTACTACTACTACTACTGCTACTACCACTACTACTACCACACAGAAACCTAACACCTTCGGCTGGAGCCCATTGCCCCAGAGTGAACCAAAACTCCATGTTTGAAAAACTATCCAATCGAAGCTCCACTTAAACCCCCCAAAGTAGGTAAAATAACGGTTTAATTTTTTAAAAAGGCTATTATTCTACATACTTTTGTGGTCCAGGTAAGGTGAAGTGCAGAACAGCTGAAGAGGCGCCCTTCCAAGCAGCTTGAAGGCTCGGATCCTCCTTCTCCAGACCACTGGAAGGTCCAACACGAACCCAACTTGGGTTCTTGCCAAAAAACTTAGTTTAAGTAAATATGCCAGCGTTCTAAAGCAGTAGGTACTACGGAACATATGTACATGAACTCTACTTCAATCTCCCTAACAAGAGCCCAGCAAATGGTGTCTCAGGGCTTGGGCCAGTCCCGCAGGTGCTGGATTGCGGACTTGCCTGGCTAAGAATTTCAGTCTGGAGGCATGGTCGTACAGCAGTTTGGGTTTAGGCTTGGGGGTTTAGGGGTTAGAGCAAGAAATGACCGACACTTATGCATGTTCTTACCACTCATCTCATACTTTTTGTTGCAACGATGAGGATAAGCATGATTGAAGGCTTCAGGGCTTCGAGGGTTTGGGTGAGCCTCGGGTCCCTTGCCCTTTGGACTGGGGGGTCAGTTGAAAGCTCGGGTCTTCGGGTTAAGGGCCTATTAAACAATATATATATATATATATATATATAATATAGTATAATATAATATAATATAATATAGTATAATATAATATAATATAATAACATATATATATATATATTCTACCTTTTGGGTGTCTGCTCGTTGCATTCCTCTTTAGGGTTTGGGGTTTCGCGTTTGAGGACCCTTAAAAGCTTCACTTAAAACCTGTTGAGTTTAGGGTTCAGGGTTTGAGGTTCAGTGTGTAGGTGTAGGGCTTGGATTCTGCCTCGGGATAAGTGCCTTTGGCTTCACGAAACCGCGGGGTACGAACACGATTCCCCTGACGCTGAAACCATAAATACTAAATGCCTTAACTTGAAACCGAAGCCTAACCCCAACCCCTGAACGGTAACTGACTGAACCCCATGCCATAAGCCAGGCATCTGAACCAACATCTAAGTCCTCTAAACCCGAAACCCTGAACCCTTTTCGAGGGCTTTGCGAGCCCCTGAAAACTTAAAAACGCGAATCACTTCAAAGCCATGATACCAGCGATTGATGAGCCTTCTTTTGGGGTTTAGGACCATTTTAAGGTTTAGGGTTTATGAGTTCAGGGGCTTCGGGTTTAGGAGTGTAGGGGTTTAGGTCCACCATCCTTCCTTGAGTTCCGAAGCTACCAGAAAGGCTTTGGAGAGGTTGGGCTTCGGGAGTTTCAGGCCCACCTTCGAGTTCTGGGGTTTACCTAAAGGCTCCAAAGTAGTTCCTTTTTGGGATTACCTTGTAGGATTCTAAATATGAACCCCAAAAAGGAACTACTATGGAGCCTCTAGGTAGGGCCTAAGGGTGAGGCCAACGTTCCGATGTAAACGAGACTCGATTGTGGGCCTAAACACTGACCGGCATTCTTCCCCGGATGTCCCCCCCAAAAAGTCTAGCAGAAGCATACAGCGAAAGCCCATTGAAACATTAAGGCCACTACATTACAGGAAACCCTGCGGCCCCGAAGCGTGCAGGGAGCTACGCTGCGCTGGATCTCGCGCCAGCATGGGGAAGAGCAGTTTCTGCAAGCAGGGGTTCAATCGAACTCGGACGCACAATTCAAAACGGAAACGCCAAGCCCCAAATATGTCTGTTGTATTCGGGTCGCGCTTTTAATCTTTTCAAAAACCTACATGGCATGGTCTGGGGCAAGGCTTAGGGTTTGGTGGTCCCAGGTCATACCACACCTCGAGGAATGAGTTAACCGAAAACCTCAGCTCAAATTCCCGAAACCGTTACCAGAGTTGCCCTTTCAAACAAGACAGAAAGGGCCCCTCCCGAAACCCAAAGTCCTACACCCTAGTCCCGAACAAAACCGTTTTCAGAAACTCCTTGTTCGGATACCTCGCTTCAAAGGACAACCCTGAACCCAACGCCTCCACCTTAGGGATAGGAGCCATGGACCCTACCTATAGTCTCCATTGTAGTTCCCTTTTGGGGTTACCTTTTAGGATCCTTAATATAAACTTGGTTAAACCAACAAAAGGAACTACAATGGAGACTATAGGTATGCTATGAACCCCTGCATAGTGGTCGAACCTGCAATCCTCTTGAACTGCTTTTCGTGCCACGAGTACACCCCATCCCAAACCCAAATAACTCACCTTTCTCAGGACTTATTTGGGAGTTTCCGAAAATAGGGGACCCTACTATAGTACCCTAAATAGTAAGATCTTTATGATAAGGACCTCAAAATAAGGTACCCCTAATCTTCGGAAACTCCTATTTCAAGAAGCCACTGAAGGAACCCTATTCTAATTATTAAGGCCCCTATATTATACTACCCTTATAGATCCCTTATAGACCCCTTTAATGGATCCCTTTAAAGGAACCCTGGGACTTCCCCTAAGCCAGCTCGAGCGTCAGGGCGGCGTTTCTGCCTGCGTGTCTGCACTCAGCGCAAAGAGCTTCTCCTGAAGAGTCCGGGCTTTCGGGGCTTTAGGTTAAAAGGGTTTAGGGTTTAGGGTTTAGGGTTCAGGAGTTTGGGGTTTAGGGTTTAGGGCTTTGACGGGTCTAGGTGTTTCGAGGGTTTAGGAATTTGGGGTTTAGGGTTTTAGGG